GTTAACCTATGGAATAGAATCAATACTAGTAATTTTTTACAAGAGTATAAAACTGTTCAACTATAATAAGTAGTAAAGTAAGAATAAATGTAATTTGAACAGTGAAATTAAAAATGTACCTGCAATACAATAGGAACAGCGCCAGCCCTAACTTTCCTAAGACCACTCTTCGTCTCATAGAAGTCATCAGCTAAAAAGTGTACAGAGCATATAGCACTTCGGTCTTTTGGCTCCCAGGAATGTTTCCCAATAGCACGAAGCCATGCGGACCGGAGCGAGGACTCAGTTGGAAAGCTGCAAAGAAATATTAAGTTAGTATGTTTGCAGGATATTCATGAAGTTGGCAATAAAACTTAAAGAGTTTCAAAAGTAATAATCATAATATATGCGTCTAGAACTTTATCTACCCATATATCTAAATTTCGAACCCTAGATATAAGGGTGTGTTCCCACGTCTCATGATGTCAATAGTGCACTGGCTGCCTTCTTCCCATGGCGCGTTTGTGTGAAACGCGCTAGGCTTGTATAGTTTCTCATCATTTCAACCAAAAGACATCCACTGCTGAACATAGGCCTCCCCCAAAGACTGCCATATCGACCTGCCCTGCGCCGCTTGCATCCGGCAGATTCCCGCAGCCTTCACCAGACCATCAACCTTATGAGTGGCCTGCCCACGCTGCATCATCCGGTACGGGCATCTGTTCTGAGTTTTGCAATCCTTTGTGCTATGTCAGTTACTCTGATTCCCTTGCAGAATTATATTTTATCCTCATTACAGATTCAATCTCGCAATGAAAATGAGCACAGCCCTTTTCTTTGCCTTTTGAGTGACCTTGAGCCTTCTTATGAGGCCCATAGTGAGTGATCAAATTTCAGCACCTTATAGAGCATTGTTTAGTTCTAGAGCTAACTATCCCAACACTGACCCACATGAACTGGCTCATCTTGCATGGTGCAGACAGGGCTATTCTGTTCTATTCCATACAAAGTGTATTTTTAAATATTCAGTGTACATGCATGTCCATTTCATGTGTATAAAATAACTAGTTTAGAGCGTTCATTTAACGTCCAAGCAACAACAAGACGAACTAAGGAACTAGATGGAACTAAATGAACTAGAAGACCCACCTAGTTCAGTTGACCGATTTAACTAACAACAAGTCTGCAGTCTGCGAGCATGTCATGGATAAACCTACACATTCAATGAAGTTTGACAAACCCCAGGTCCTTGCAAAAGAAGTCCGTTATCTACCCAGGATACTGCAAGAGGCCATTGAAATTAAAAAACATGCTAATTTCAACAGGGAAGATGGTTTCTCAGTACCACCAGTTTGGGATCCAGTATTTCCTCTAATGAAAAATCCCAAACAGACATAAGACTGCAGTACTAATTAATATGTTTTAGTTTATTCTAATTTCTATTATTAATTAATAATAAATTGAACTTAATAAAAATTCATTCAATAAAATAATTTGTAAAACTTAATGTAGCATAAATTGGAATGTTTTCTTTGTAAAATTCAAAATAAGGTATTTAATTAATAACTATTGTAACTATAGTGAAAAAATAGGGTAATATTAGACATAACTGGTTGAAGACTGTACAACCTCAGTCAACCGTGACCATGGGACCTGTAAAGTGCCCGAAACGTCGGTTTGTTTGAAAAAACGAATATACGCGATTTAAATCCGGAAAAATAGTTTCATTTCCAATTTAACTAACTCGGATCTTTCCCTTTAAGGACCAATCAGACACTAGTCTACTAACCTTTGCAGCCCTACATCTTTGTGAGTAGCAATTCATCTACTATCAATAAATTGTTGAACAAAAATTAACATCTAAGATATGGCAGTGTGGCTCAGATGACTGCTATCAAATACTGACAAATTTTAATAGGTACTGTGGGTATGAAATTATTTTTTATTCACCGACTATCATCTCCACTAATTACATCACGGAGCCAAGGTCAACTGAACTGAGAACTGTAGTGTTTAGCTATAGTTTTTATCCCCCCTGGATAGGGGATAAGTTTATTATCTTGTCTTACATGTGTAGCAGAAAAACGAAAACTCACATATGAAACGTAATTCCTTGTGATTTTGAGACATGTCTGGAGTCATTCTTGCAACCAGGCGCACAGCATCGCATTTTGATACCTTTATTTTCGTAAAAATACTGTAAAAAGCCGATTATTTACACCAACTTCTTTGTATTATGAAGTTTTAGCACATTGCGTATAGCTTTGTACAATTTTAGAATTTCTTGTGACAATATACATTATTATACTTGTAAAGTAAAGTAATTTATATCATTTTTATAATATTTACATGATAAACTTATTAAATAAAATAAATTAGCTTTGCAGCACATACACCTCTGTCAATAACCTTAGTTGATGTTATAATGCGACTATGTGGCAAGCATTCGCTATCGATATTCGCCTTTCACTCTGACATAGACCATTGTTATATAGAAGACAGAGATAGATACTTGCTATATGTCAATGTATGTGCTTTTTTATTTTGTCATTTTATAATACTTACAATGTAAACATAGGTATAGTAAACATAAAACTATCTCTGTCTTGCGAATGTCAAAATTTACGTTACATGAAAGAGAAAGTATTATGATGCACTAGAGATGTGAACTACGAAAATTATATTTGCGTAATAGCCGGTTTTAAACAGATAAAAATGCAATGAAAAGATTTAAAAAATACACAAGATGGCGTAGCGTGTTTGTTTATTATTTGTAAGTTGAAATAAAATAAGAAATAAAGCAGTGGTTTCCAGCAATGATTAGTGCAAAATATAGGAAATAGAAAAGCCATTGTAATTTATTTTAATATACTGTTCTATTGCTATATTAGTTAATTGCAAAGGATAGAAAGCTATACATAAGTAAGCCAAGTTTTTCATTTTTAAGCCTGGTTTATGTGTTAAATATTGTTTAACAATGAGGTGCAGCGTTCAAAATTGCAATAATGACACCAAGAAAACAACCAAGACCCATGGAATCACGTTTCATTTGTAAGTAAATATTTTCTATTCTGAACAAGTCGTCTGCATAAGATGTTTAGAGCAAAGAAGCATAAAAATTAGTAACGGATACATTTGATGCTCTATATAAAAATGTTGTCGCCCGTTTTCTTATTTGAAGGCAATAGAAGGAACAGCCTAAAGATCTAGCTACCTGTAGCGCAACAGATTCTGAATTAACAAGTAACACAACTTTGCATCTGTTTTTTGCATACTTTGCCTAAAAATATTTGATATTTATTATTATTTTAAAAAAGAAGCGCGTTCCCAATTCTTGTCTTGTCCATTATAGTATTGCTTTGCTGTTTTTTTTTTGTAATATTGAAGTATCAATAATATTGTATAGAGTCCTTCTTTTAAATGTTATGGCCCCATTGAAGTAATCAATGATTTCGCCAATGTTAAGTTGAGGAACACACGTTTTTGCTCAAATATTTACAATTGAATGTGTTTCATATTTGTGCAAATTTACAGTGACACATTTTTGTGTGATAGGATAGGGACAAAAGGCATTTAAAGGAAGTAGGACGACGGATAGAAGAAGGAAGGATGTCATATAGGGAACACCGTAATTTACAGCAGTCAAAGAATATATTTTTGGCAACTTTTTGCCATTACTCATTTAAATAATGAAGTTTAGAGGACAATTATATATCAAAAGATTTGTAATGACATTATGATCAGTTAATTACTTTTTAAGTTATCATACCTACGATTAGTAATGAAAGAAAAATGGTTTATGCAAAATTTAATATGTCAACAAAATTATTACTTTATGTGTCAAGGATGGTTAACACATTTTAACAAATGAGTAAATTTTTATTTACAGATTTCCTAAAGATCCCGAACAACGTGCCGCCTGGGTAAAAGCAATGGGAGTCACCGACTGGAAGCCAAAAGATCGTAGCACAATTTGCTCGGAACATTTTGACCCTGAGGATTTTTATCAAACTAGTTGTGGACTGAGAAAAGTGCGAGTTGGTGCCGTACCTGTTATTGCACTGGTACGTGTACTTATTTGTTCCTCATATTTATAAGAGATACTTTATGCATCGATTTTATATAATAATCAAAGTAAAAAAATCTTCTTTATAATGTTATAGCTCAATTGAAACAATTGATGATTCTGCCAATGTCAAGGAAGACATTTTTTGCTCATAATCTGACCACTGAATTTCGATAGAATTCGCCAAGAAGAGAAACTACAACAACAATACCAAACCTGATTGTCACAGGTGCATTGACATTGACAAATTTAAACCTTTAAAAACCCAATACAAAAATCAAATATTCTTTATTTCATACATATGAAAAAACCAAAAAACAGAGATCTGCAACAAACATAGAGATATTCATAAGGTCTGCTGGTCCATTGCGTGGCTTAATTAGCAGAGCATCTGGCATGGATTGCCTGAGGGTACTGGTTCAAATCCAGCCGGATCGAATGTTTCGATCTTTGTTATAATAATTATGTTGTATTACATACATATGTTAGTCCTTAAGGTATTTATTATATTGTATGGGTTAAGTGGCCAAAATTAAATAAATTAATTTAAAAAAAAATACAGCTATCGTCAGCTGCAAAGATTCCTGGCAGAGTGAGTAACTTCATAAATTTCTCACAGGTGCGTTAAGCCAAAATAAACATCTTTAACAAACACTTAAAAAATTTTTATAAGGTCTGCTGAACCGTGCCTGCCGCTTAATAATCAACTTAGCTGCAGACGTAGCTAAGTTAATTATTAAGCGGTATTTATAAATTTTTCATTTTCTTGTTTCAGAATACTGTTGATGATTTAGAAGCGCCAGCAGCAATGAGAGTAAGTTTCAAAGCGAATGATATTAGTTGGACTTAGCCTTTTATTGCACCAACCAAGTCATATTCACGTTTTTATTTCAAAAAATTGATACCTGATACCTATGATACCTAACACACGTACTCATAGCCCCACACTAGGGAAACCCTGTATCGCGGGTGCCATAGACACAGATAACCACAAATTACACCCAAATCACGAGAGAGATAAATGTAGGCCATACAAATATTTTTTCCCCGCCCAGGAATCGAACCCAGGATCTCTGCATGGCAACCATTCGGCCACAGAGGCAGTTTCAGATTTCCCAAGCAGCAATTTCTCAACGGTTTGCACTATCGCCGCTGGAGGAGGGTTCGATTCCTGGTAGAACCAATTTGGGAAATAAACTTTTCGAAATTAGTTTTGGTCTGGGATTTTCGGTGCTCCTAGCATTTCATTTTCGATACTTGAAAAATCGATGTCTTACTTTCTCAAACTCGTATCTTATAAAGAGTGACTTTTCAGGAGATGGCGAAACTTTCAATTTTTTTTAAATTTCTTATCAAGGGTGTTAATTTGGATGCATTATTTTAAGAATAGGCAAAAGCCACTGTGAGAATATGAAGGAAATATGATGTGAAATCAGCCTGCAAAATTTGTATACGTGGGGCGCAGTACAAGTTTCCGGAATGAATAAGAAAAAAGTGCTGTAAATGGTCAGAAATTAATTTATTGTTTCTCAAAATATTCTCCGTTAGCGTTAATGCACAATTTCATACGAATGAACCAATTTTGAAAACATTTATGCCACTCCTCCGTGACAATCTCTGAAACATATTTTTCATACTCTTCGACAGCCTCTTCGGGTGATCCAAATAGTTGACCGCGTAACTGGTTCTTAATTTTTGGAAATAAATAAAAGGTCACAAGGTGCCAGGTCGGGACTGTACGCGGGATGGCTCATAAGGTCAACGTTGTTCACCGTTTAAAATTTATTTCTCTGTCTGGCCGTGTGAGAACTGGCATTATCGTAGTGCAAGATGATACGGCGTTTACGGTGTTTTTCAATAACTTCCGACAAACAAATGGTCGTGTACCAATCATTGTTCACGGTACAACGATTCTCCAAAGCAACAGTAGCCACGTGTCCAATTTTATTAAAAAAAGAAGCAATCGTCCGCTTTGAGGCACTTTGCACGCGCGCCACTTTGGTTGGTTTCGGCTCATCTCGAAAGACCCATGCGCTCGATTGCTGCTTTGTTTTGAGATCGTAGCCATAAATCCATGTTTCGTCACCTGTTACTATGTCCCACACCAAATTTGACGCCCCTTCGTTGAATCTGGTAAGCATGGCATTAAACCAAGTGACGCGATCCGTTTTTTGAGCCTCAGTCAAATTGAGTGGGATCCACCGAGAGCACAGCTTTCCCACACCCAACTGTTTGTGTAGTATTGATTGTATTTAACTCATGCCTATGCCTAAAGATGCCTGAATCTCATGGTATGTCACATGCCTGTCGGTTTTGATCATACAGCGCACAGCATCGATTTTTTTGTTGTTCACAGCAGTGGACGGGCGACCATCACAAAATTCGTCACTGAGATTCACACGACCGCGTTTGAATTCTGCAAATCAGCTATAAATAGTCGTCTTGCATGGTGCTTCATCGCCAAAAGCAGCTTGAAGCCGAGCGAAGCTCCGCTGAGCTGTCAAATTACAGTTAAAGTCGTAGAAAATCATACTACGAAAATTTTCACGAGTTAAATCCATGGTGATGACACAGACAGAGACAACCAATTTCTAAAATGACGCCACAATGTAAAAACAAGTGACAGTCAGATGAAACAAACTGTATTCTACAGCCAAAGAGTTCCATTCTCAAATGTTGTAATTACTTTTTAAATATTGTTTATGTAACTGGCCAGTTCCGGAAACTTATATACCATCCATTTTTTGCATTTCAGTAACTTTGTGCTTTAAGATACGAGTTTGAGGAAGTAAGGCGACGAAATGCTTTATTGTAAAAAATATGAGTAAAGAAAATGGTTTTTACTGTAAAGATAGTACACAGATTCGTATTACAGTGTAATATCTTGGCGGTATCATTTTACATTATTTATACTGTGGCCAAACTTAAACAATTTTGCAGTTTATTGATAAGCCATTTGGCTCAAATTGTGAATTGTACAGGATTTACTATACACTACATGAATAGTATATCAAGAAATTATTTTCACTGGAAAATTTTTATATAGCACCTATATATTTCAAACAATACCTTCAACAGTGTCTATTTTTTTTAACAATAGGTATGCAGAATTTGCCTGGTAAAGAACACAAGGATGTACCACTTCAATCAGTACAAATTGGAGCAAGCTTATGAGCAAATCATTGGAATGCCGGTAGGTTTATTGATTTTTTTTTAAATTAAATAATAAACGCATATTTGACCTCCATCACACCTGATGGAAAGTGACAATGAAGTCGACGATGTAGCATGCACACCAAAATAATGCCTATATTTTCGCCTTGAAAAGCCCAAGTTGTAATGTTCAGGGAACAAGTCTGCAGGTGGGGAATTAATGGTCCCCCGATGATATGGAAGTGGGCAGGTGGAATTAAATCGTGCAATTTCCTCGCACACTCTGCGTGATATATTCTGTAGTAAAATTGTGGTAATATCTATTCTAATATACGAGTATATAATATAACATAATCTTGATAACTTAAGAGTCTATACTACCTCAAATGGCTTTGGTTGATTCCCCATAACAGTTAGTGTTGAATCAATTAAAAAAATGTATAGTAAATTAAATTTTTATTGAATTGATATTCAATTATTTTTTGTGAAATTACTCCACTAGTTATTAATACAGTGAATAGCGACATCTCTCGCCAGGACTGGTAGCTGTAAAGGTACTAACTGGGTGATAAATCTGTCATAGATTTCTCATAGATGGCGCTACGACTAAAAAGTCGTTGAAAGACCAAGTACAAAGACACGACGCAAGCACATAGAAAAATTCGTGAGGTCCGTTGGTTCGTTCCGTGGCTTAATTGGTATAGCGTCTGGCACGGTATGCAAGAAGACGTCGGTTCGAATCCGACCGGATCGAAGGAATTTTTTCTGAGTGTTCGATCTTTGTATTAATAATTATAACACTTTATAGTAAAATTGAGGATATTCACTGATTATTATATGGTGTGAAAAAAGTATTCCTGAAAATTGTCACGATAGAAAAAAAACACAAACTTACCTCGTAATTTTACAAGAAAACCGCTGTATTCAATAGGTACATTAGATATACCAATGATTATTTTATATAAACTGAATTAAATAGAAGACGTTTACGATATATATTTTTGTAATGGTTTTAGTTTCGTTTGTAAAAAACAAAATATAATTTAATTAAATTTTTATTGAATTGATATTCAATTATTTTTTGTGAAATTACTCCACTAGTTTGTTATACTTATTAATACAAAGATCGAACACTCAGAAAAAATTCCTTCGATCCGGTCGGATTCGAACCGACGTCTTCTTGCATACCGTGCCAGACGCTATACCAACTAAGCCACGGAACGAACCAACGGACCTCACGAATTCTTCTATGTGCTTGCGTCGTGTCTTTGTACATGGTCTTTCAACGACTTTTTAGTCGTAAAAATAATTTATTTAAATAATTAAATAAAGCCAGTATCTTTCCCGCTCGCCCTAAGCAAAATGAACCGTATTAGTACGGGAAAATTTTAATTTTTAATTTTAATTCGAGCTGAGGTAGTATCTCTTAATAATCAATATATAGTAATATATATTTGATTTCCAGCCAAGCCAGGACGACAGGCTACCCCAAAAATTGTGCTGGGAGTGCGCCATTCGGTTACTAAACAGTTGCAAGCTTAAAAGTAAAGCGATGCGTAGCCAGAGCCTTATGTTAGATTTGCTTATAAGCAATAACTACGTAAGTGAATAGTTTTTATAATATTAGACTTTTTTTTAACGCGCCCACTATATAATCTTCTTCTTCTTTTTGCTTAATGGCGCTACCCTTTAGATTTCGTACAGTATCGACTTTTCCGCTTGGTAATTTTTAAGGGCTTCTGTAGACCTGCTATTGTGAGTATTGTGAGAGCACAATGTGATATAAAAATTTCTTATTAGATTTTAAAGCTGCAGAGCTGTTGAATTACCTGAAAGGGACAGAGAACGATATATATAGACAAATGTTAGTAAATATGTTAGGCTGGACCATTGGACGAACAAATTATAATTTTATGTTGTTGCTGGTTATATAATCACAAGACTTAAAATCGTATTAAAATTTGTGGGTTTGGGAATTCATGAGAGGAGGATATTGTGCAAGGAGACGGGGTACTTGTTACAATTAAAGAAAATGTGATCCGAAGTTTCTTCGTCCTGCCCGCATTCGCAAAGCGAGCTGTCCCTTACCCTAATTTTAGCTAAGTAAAATGGGCTGTTCGAGTGGCCGAGCCTTAGTCTACATATGGTGGAGGTGCAAGATTTTGATGCTTCGTTAAATTTAAAAAACCATGGTTTACTCCGCACTATATAGGGTACCCCGGAGTCGCGGGTACCATGGACACAAACATAGACAACTGTCAAAGATAATCAAGATGTCAAGAATAAAGTAGGGTTAGATGAAAAATATCGCTTTATTCTTGTTGCTTCTTCACATATCCCATCTTACGGTCATTCATAAAACAAAAACGCCGCGCGCTCGTCTTCTTTTAATTTCATATCCTCCCTCACTTTTGCACATTCCTTCCCCCTCACTCCCACATTCAGATACGTTCACACATCGCCTGAATTATAATTTTTAAATCACGCATGCGTTCAGATCTAGCAATCCCACGCAACTATGAATTACACCAAAACTCACGGGAGAAATAAACTTGTTTCATAAATAAATGAAACCTCTGATTCCTTAATATCTTGCTTATTGACTGAGAGGATGAGAGTAAAGTACAGTACAGTACTGCGATGCCAGTGCAGTAAATAACATTGTACACTTTGCGTCTCTATAAAAACATCACTATCTTATTCCAGCTATAATTACTTTTCATCACACTTGCTCGTAAATAGCATGATTGCATGATGGCGAACTTGGCCCTTGGGCCTTTTTTCTTCTCATTAGCCATGGTAAGGAGGTTTTTAAATTTGTAACGCGACATACTTCCTTACATAGGTCAGTTTCACGTTCAAGCAAGGAAGTTACTTAAGTTCAAAATTAAAACATTCGCTTTAAATGTTATGTACCTAAACAGACTTTATTATTAAGAATTTCTTATAATTGATTTTAATTATGTTCCGTGTAAAAATTTAACAAATTTCGTCATGGCTGTATGCGTATTTGCTTTTTACGTTCGAATTTTATTATCTATGGAAGAATAGCCAGCTGACCATCTGTTGATAAAAAAAAACCGCCATTTACATAATCCATAATTGTTGTTTTGGGTACCATACTTACTCATACAAGAAATAAACATTGTATTTATTTCTTCACAAATATGATGAAAAACATTGTATATATCACGGACGGTAAAAAAATACAAAACTCGATTTATTAAAGCTTCTAATAGACCCGTGTCTGTAATTTCTTATGTACTAAATTCCTTAGTACACAATGTTAGCACTACTGCGTTCGGGTTTTGATAGTGACGCCGATTCTAGACATGAAGTAAGATAACAAGTACAAACTTTATTGTTCCTCCTATTAAACTTAAAGAGAGTGAAAAAGATGATATGTTTTTAAATGTCTCTAATTATATAGGTTGGATTGGGAATCACGGAAACACCATAATATAAATATAGAAAATCTCTTTTTAAACTGTAATGTAAAGAATTTTGCCCCAAAAAATATGCCTAAAATACAGGTACACATTTACTTAGTTAGGGCATCGCAATCACACATTAGTTCTAATATGCTTTACTATGAAGAATGTATAATTTAGATTCCCTTCTTTATGCTTATTTTAATACTATAATAGCTTTTATATTTGTTTTACTTGTATTAGATTAGACCACAAAATTAATAACTGCTTAAATTTCAGCTAACAGTCGAAGATATAAAAACAATAAACAGATCTCAACACAAGCTAAAATCGTCATTATCTATAAGAATAGACGAACCAAATCGTTACGACGTGCTATTAAAGCACAAACAGGAATTTGTCAAGACAGAATCCACTGTAATCGACGGTCTGAAAGTCGAAATTGAGGATACCAATGACATTGGTGACAATGACGTAAGCGATATGGGTAAAGATATAAGCGACATTGGTAATGATATGAGTGATATTGGTCATGTGAATGACATAAGTAATGATATAAGCGACATTGGTAACATAAATGACATTGGTAACGATATAAGCAGTGACTCAAGTGCAAGATGTTTGATACCGACTTTGGTTGAAATTGATATAAAGGTAAATACTTACATATTTAACTACAATAAGTAGCATATTAATTATGGATTTCAGAAATCCTACCAACACCACTTTTTTAAGACCCAAAATTTTAACATTATTATATTTATCACTTTGGATGTTTGATGAGCAAACCTCGTGTTCATTTCCTGGTAAAACCAAATCAGCATATTAGAGTACATGCTAGGAACTAAACCAAGTAGCAATATGTGAATGAGTTCGCCCGGGGAAGTATTATCACCTTGCCTACATATTTCTACCGCCAAGCGGTATTGTGAGCTTTACGGCGATCCATTACAGGCATATGGGACTTGTCAACTTATGTCTCAGGGAGAGACGGGCGCAATGGCAGTATCCCTCAGACATCGAGTGTATAACCAGAAATAGACACAAAATAAGGGCCATCCAAAAATCACAAATTGATAATCTCAGTACGAAGTACTAAAAAAACCGACCTCAAAATTACGTGGAATTACATCTATTTGCCAAGTTTTATTGAAATATGGGGATGTTTAGTTCGCCACTATATAGGACTTGACACAGGAGATAATAAAAATCGGTTCTCACTACTCAAAGTATACTGAGAGAGAAAAACGCCTTAAATTGGAGAATAGCAAAACCAACCATTAAAATAATTGCTCCTTAAGTAAAATTTAGGCGCTAATTATAAAAATTAACATTCATGCGTGATCAGCCACCTTTAGAGGTGGATGATTTTCTTTAAAATGAAATGAGACCATTATGGACGTACCCTCTTTCCAACAAAAGAAGAATCATGAAAATCGGTTCACAAATACCGGAGTTGGCGCGTAACATACATACAAAAAAAAGAAAATAAAAACATACAGTCGAATTGAGAACTTCCTCCTTTTATGAAGTCGGTTAAAAAGCTGAAATAGTACAGCGCCAACAACTGACCTGTGTATACATATCCGTATAATCCAAAATATTCTGTATTTTATTGCAATACAGATAATAAATACCTCTGACAATGGGGGCTGTTCTATTAGGTGGTGTGGGAAAAACAGCAAAACATCTAATTACAAAACAAAACAATGTAATTTTAAAATTTTCGTCCATTGTATCAAAGCTCAAGTTAACCTGGTCGATTTGAAGTGAAACAATTGACGACGCCCGTCAATTGTTTCTAATTCGGGCTGACCAATCGGAGCGCAGTTGTCACCGTAATGATTTGGCAGAATGTTTTGAAACAAATTAAATGACATTTCCTCTCTATGTGTGGTTATAAACTCGATGCCCTCTCACGTTTGCGATTTAAAGCTATACCTTAGATATATCTAAAGCGCACGACTTGCTCAAAAAAATCAAATATATAATCGGTTTGATAATTTCTTCTAGGACGAGCAAAGTAATTCGGCTATATTCTTTGATGAAGTAATGGATACATTCGAAGACTCCGAAGACAATATGAAGCTCAGTGACGTCGTTGTGAAGAAAACTGAAAAAAGAGAAAAGAAAGTCAAGAAGAAGAAGAAATTAAAGTTAAATAAGGTAAGATGGTGGCGCCAGCAAATTAATTTCAATAGTCTATCTTTTTAAAGATGTAGTAAAATGACCGTTTATTGCTCAAAAGTGTTGCCCACTTGCAAGCAACTAGTGATTGTCGATAAATATTATATGGACTATCGACTGAATGTTGATTACGCTTAAACAACAAATAGTCGAACTTGTTTCATTTGAATCGTCATCGATCATCTGAATTGACAACTTTTTTAATACATACATACATACACTGCCTTTAGAACTATATCTTTTAAAAATACAAAGAGGAGATGTTTTAAATCATTTTAATTCAAAAAATTTATATGAATTTATTTATTAAATAATAGATTCAACTGTCAAAATAAGAATAAAGAAGGCAATAACGCAATTAGTAATCATTAAAACAGATTAATCATTTAAAGCAGCAGTAGAGCTCCCTGTGAAAGAGTTTGTCGAGGGAAGTACTGCCACCTTACGCGTTTCTGCCGCCAAACAGTAATGTTAACATTACTGCGTTCCGGTTTTGAAGGGTACGGGTGCTGGTGAAATTACAGGCACATGGGACTTGGCAACTTATGTCTCAAGGTGACGGGCGCAATGGCAGTGCCCCTCAGATTTTTGCGATTTAAAGCTCTTGTGTGGCACTGCAACTGTTATGGACAGGCGTGTAGCTTACCATCAGGCACACGACTAGTTCATCCCGTCACTTGTTATTATATAAAAAAAGGAACATTCACCATTCCGCCTTTTTGTAAAAATTTTATCTTCTTTCACAATCCATCGATAAAACTGTCGACAACAACCACATGTAGGAAATGAAACTATTTTTCCGGATTTAAATCGCGTGTATTTGTTTTAGAGAGGAAATAAGGGCCGTATATTCCTGGTAACTCATTAACGATTCAGCTCTTATAAATATCAACTCTCGTTTGCACTGAAATATAGACAGGCCAACTACTGACCTATGTGTACGTCTCCGTATATTCCAAAAATATTCTGTATTTATTGTAATAAATCTAATATCTCTGACAATGGCGTGCTGTTCCATTCGGTGGTGTGGGAAAAACAGCAAAACATCTAATTACAATACAAACGGAAACACATTTCATCGGTAATTAAATATGAAATATGTAATTTTGCAATTTTCGTCCATTATAGCAAAGCTCAAGTTAACTGGTCGAATTGAAGTGAAACAGTTGACAACACCTATTAACGACACCCGTCAATTGTTTCGAACTCGGGCTAGCCAATCGGAGCGCAGTTGTCACAGTAATGATATGGCAGAATAGTTTCAAACAAATTTAATAACATTTCGTCTCCATTTCTGGTTATATACTCGATGGTTTTTTCAAACAAACCGACGTTTCGGGCCCTTTACAGGTCCCATGGTCACGGTTGATTGATTAACTCATATGTTAAAGCATAAATCCGGAAAAATAGTTTCATTTCCTACATGTAACAGTCTGTATTAGTGGTTATTCGGTGTTCATTATTGGGAATTTAGAGAAATTCTAGTTTAGGTTTTTTTAATAATAATTATATTAGTGTTGTGACGATGAGACCTCTTTCATAGTCATCCTACCTTATAACCCTTTTCTCTGGTCCTGGCCTACTTTTGAAATTTTGAATCGTTCTCAAATTCTTTGTCTTCGACATCCTTACCGCAATTCAGAGTTGGGCCCTTTTCAATGCAATACATTTTAAGCATAAAATCATAATATTGTACTTATAACATGTCTGTGCTGAATAAATTTGTTTTCTTTCTTTCTTTATATGAAACCGAATCCGCTTAAATTACTCGACTCATAAAGTTACGTTCCTCTGGCCTCACTCTTATAGACAAAGTGAAAGTTCAAAAAAAATTGATAATCTCCATTTCCTATTACAACGATATAATTTTTTCAGCATATAAAAGCAGTGAAGAAAGTGAAAAACAAGGAAAAAGAACCTCAAAAGAGCGTTGAAGATGAAGACCCTGAAGTTACAATGGACAAGTAAGTTGATCAGCTTTTAAACCACTTCTTAAAAGTAGTGTTATACTACACCCGAAAAGTAACTTATTACCAGTTGTGCTCGGAATAGGTAGAGTATATAATATATCTGCGAATATTGTGGAGGATATACGGGTGAAAGTCAATGTTATCCTGGGGGTCGAGCAGTTAAATTGTGAATTTTAAGTCATTTGTAGTGAGTGTACCAACTCAACATCGGTCGACCTTCAAGAAGGAAGAGTTTTGGCCGAAGGGTGTAATGTATCAACGTTTCCTAGGCCGGTTACCGGACACCCACGTTGCGTCACACGTCGCAGACAATACGTGTAAATAATTAGTAATTGATGTTTTATCATATTGTTATGTATGTTAGTCTATAAGATAAGTATTTGTGGGTCTTTGTAACCTGAATATAAATTTAAAAAAATAAAATTACCTAAACTTGGAGGAACAGAGACAGAAGTGGAGACCTTTACAACAACATTTTTTTGCCCCGGATTTTTTCGGGATTCGGGAAATCATTTAAGTACATTAAAAATTAGTTACTTGGGATGTGGAGGTAGTAGACAGTAAAAAGTACCTGCATTTGTTTATGGTTTATTTTAGTGACGCGACGTAAACGTAAATCATTCGAAAGAGTGTCATAATTTTCAAAGCCCGCTACTCGTAGCGTTTTGTTGCGGTTGCTGTATCTGTGTCTGGTTGGAAAAAAAATACCGCAAAATCTTCAGAATTTTGGTTCGTGATTTTGTTGTAGAGCATCAACGAATGAATTTTTTTTTTCGCAGTCGAAGTGAAAAGTACAGGTTACTAAAAGCCAATATAAAACCTCGGAGTAATAGACATCCTCGCTAAAGCTGGAGTGACTAACCACCTCGGGAATATATTGGCTCGTTTTAGTCCCTCGATAAAAAATATACTATATGATATGTAATATATCGACTGTGAACTGTTTATTTATTTTTCCCGTGAGTTTAGGTGCAATTTGTGGTTGTCTATGTGTGTGTCCATGGCATCCGCGACACAGGGTTTCCCTAGTGCGGGGCTATGTTGAGTGTGTGCGTTATTATAAAATAAAAAAAAGAACTGGAACCGGTACTATCTCAATTTTGATTTTCCATTCAAGTTAAGTTTTCTGACATCGCCTAAATTTTAAAAACCAATAACAATAATTTAAAAAGTAAACTTAATTTGATTTTCAGGTACAAAGTAACGGAAATTAAGCGTAGAAAGATCGACCACCTGGACGAGTCGTTGTTCACGATAACGACTCTGACATACGAAGAGCAAATGCGCGAAGTGCAACAAAGGCAGGAGAGCTCGAGCTACAAAAACGCCCCGTTCAAATGTCACGTGTGTTACAGAGGGTTCCTCGTCAGGGACCGGTATGACGCTCATGCTGTTAGGCATAGCGAGGTAAGAAATTGTATAATTGTAATAGTCCTAATATTATAAATGCGAAAGTAAGTAAGTAAATTTAGCAGCACTAGAGCTTGTGAAAAAGTTCGTCCAGGGAAGTACTGCCACCTTACCTATGATGGTGTTGACGAGATGAGATGGTGTTTTTGTACAGGATTATTTGGAGAATACAACTAAACTAAATACTAACAACATTGACTTACAATTATATGGACGTCGGGTCCGCGCTAAAAAGTGTCCGAACTTATAGGGCGTTAAAATCGTATACAGAGCGTCATTCACTGTCATTCATTGTTCGGCTGACAGCGAAGCAAGCAAAATTAGACAGTACTGCGATGACATTACAATTTAAATTCAACGTTTAAGGTTTTTCATATTCCTTTACATGTCACTACGTTTAAATAGGTTGACTTGGGACATTTTTTTCGTGGTTTTTCTATTAGACCCGTCGTCCATTTATTTGTAAGTCAATGACTAACAACTATACATTATACTATATTACTAACATCATAAACAACAACTTTTACTCCATGACTTTTTACAAATTAAAGTTGCAATTGTTGTATATTAATTAAAGTTGTAAGTTGTAATAAGAAAATTGCACCTAACTAGTTGACACGTAGAGTAACCAATAAATATATGTTACATTAATCTTAAACAGTTAGTTTGTAAGTAGTCAATTGCTTTAAGTTTTTTTTTTAATACTCCTATGTATAAACGTATGCCGTCGCAACTTGTAAATGAAACAACACAAAAACTCGACTCACGATATCTGCTGTTTTGAGCAATTGTTTGTGTAAGTTGTCCTAAAAAAAAATCATTTGTACCGTCAACCTCATATCCGTGAACCGAATCTTCAGACACCGTTTGAGAAAATTTAGGGATCGTACAATGAGATGACATTTGATAGTAACACTGTATATTTTAATCACTATGAAATCGAATAATTACTTGCACGTTCTATTAATTTTAACGATCAAAATAGGCACTACGCGAAACGTAGGACAGTTTCTAGGTCTCTCGTCTACCACCACTGTTCCGCACCCAGACTCCGTCGAGGTCCACCGGCAGAGGGAGCGCGCGATACACTCTGTAAATGACCGTTTTCTTTAGGTTTTTTTGTACTGTCTAACAGTTATTAGTTCTGTGTTTGGTAGTAAGATAGTTCAAACGTGCAAGCATCCAACACACCGAATTATCATCGTTTAGAGTGATCTATTTAAATATTTGTATTTTTGTACGTAAAATCTAATAAATTACTAAAAGTCATGCAACAACAGAATTGTTGTTTATATTAGTAATATAGTCCTGGGAGGTTGTTAATTTTTTCAAATAACCCTGTATAATAATAAAATAGATAACAAGTTTATCTGAAAAGTTAATCATGTTCTATACAAATGGGAATTATACACCGTCCAATCTTGTATTTAAATTTTGACATATCGACCCCTCCTACGTAAAGTATCGTATGTCGAAATTGCCAAGTTTACAGGAGATAGTATTAAAGTTTTGAATTGACAGAAATGAGCATAACACGTGACTTTAGCATTTGTTAGTTTTATTCGGCAAAGCTCGTTAATTACGTAGAGTGATCATCTAATAGATTGTCATAGACCATCTAAGATATGATTTTGTAATATTATATCCGAGTAATGAAGATTGTTATGAGGATTCATTATAATGAATCGTCGGATTATTCTCCATGTGAACGGGGATCATCACTTGAATCTTCATAAACATTAATTGTGAATTCTCGAGTACACAAATTGTCAAACGCAACATCACGGTCCCAATCAGACAATATGTTCTTTTTTGAACCCGCTAACATTCACGATTAAAACTTTCAAGCTCACATTCATAAATAAAATCGATTGAAATGGTTGGACGGAGTATACCTTATCCCAGAGAGAGACAAAATGTTCCTAATTTTGCTGTGTTTTCAGACCAGTGGTGCGTTTGAATGCTTCATCTGCAAGACTCGGTTAAAAACGGGCCGGGCACTTAGAAAACACCTCACGGCACAGCACACTGAGAAGTTCAGTTGCAAGGGGTGCCCATTTGTCACTAGAAATAGGTAAGAATGCATTGAAATGACCATAACACGAGTAATAGAATGTTGATATAAACACATGTACACACATATCCATGCACGCACGCATGTGCACACGCACATTGTGGTATATTGTTTTTCACATTTTTAATAAATATAATCTTTATTAATATAAACGATAACGCCAGAGGACAGTCTGAGATGATGAATGGTCTCTTTTAACACGGTTCTGGCAGAATACCAGCGTCGCTGAAAACTGCTGGCATTTATGCTGATCCAGTGCCTTTTCGCTGCCATGGCTTCCAAAAGTATTTACTTCAATTAGTTATATGTGTAGTTATACGTTCCTTTTCTTAAAAAAATGTGTTATTTTAAAGTGGTTCAATATAATAATTATTATCATGTTAGTTTTAGTGGATCCTATGTAAATAAGCTGTCATGGAAATGAATATAGTTTTTATCTATCTAGTCTATTAGTTACATCGTTCACCGCTAGATGGAATTAGCAGTATTCTGAAACGATACTATTCAGTATTTTGTTAACTGCATTAGAATCGCATTAAGTCGGTAAGAAATTTCTTTATGTCCATGTAGTAATAGCGAAAACGACTACGTTTAAGCTCAGACCACACAGGGGCGGTACAGCGGGAAAAGCGGTCCGGGGGCGGATCTGCGGGAAGCAAATGAGCACCGGGGCATACCACTTAGCAGTCCCAAGCGTAGTTCGCAGCGGAACAGCGGCCAGTGTGACGTCAATAGCGACCACATTTCTTTTTCAACACAGATTTTAAATAATAAACCACATCGCCGTCAGATAATGATCAAGAAAATTTTCTGCTTTTATTTGCGTTACGGAAGCAACACAAAAATTTATCGGTCGAATTCATATTGGAACTTAATAAAAACACAATCAGGAGTTGTAAAAAAATACAACGTCAAAGCCCGCTAAAGTCCCGCTCCCGGACCGCGCCCGCTGCTATTGCTCTGTGTGTCTCAGTTACATAGAATTGCCCCGCGTTCGCCCCGCATTCACTCCGAGTTATCCCCGCAACTGATCCGCCTGTTTGTCATGGCGTTCGGACCCCATTTTTTTTTTTTTTACGGGGGGGAAATCTTTATGGATACCCCTGAGCCCAGGGAGACTCAGGGGTTATGTGGGGACTCTCCCTCCAGACTGGAGGGCCTACCCCACTAAAACCCCCCCGGGTTTCCCTCTCGCCGGTTGAGTCGGCGCCGTGGGATCAGTGAACATTCACCACGACGCCGCCCGGCCGCCCTAGCTTACGCCAGGGCTCCCGCGCCAACGGAGGGGCGAGTCGGTTGTCCTCCGACCCGCCCCCCAGACGAGTGAGGCCGTGCAATGCAGGCTCCGGAGTCCCTGTCCAGAGCCCGCTGGTCTCACTAGGGGATCAGGCGAGCAGCGAACTGCCTTCGCCTTCTCCCCGTACGTCTGCGCCGGAGCGGGTGCGCGTCCGCCGCGTCCTCGCGCACCCGCTCCGCGGCCTCCTTTTGCGACATAACCTCTGCGCAAAAGGAGGCCACCGCCTCCCAGGACTCCTCGCTATCGAGCATGGCGGCAACCACGCTCGGCAGCGAGAGGTCCTGCCCTACAGTCCCCGTCAGAGTGCGGCGCTGCTCATCCCACCGGCTGCACACCTCTAGGGTGTGCTGCGCGGTGTCATCCGCAGCGCCGCACCCGTGACACGACGGGGACAGTTCCCTCCTCGCCACCTTGTGCAGGTAGTGGCCGAAGCAGCCGTGCCCGGTCAGCACCTGCACAAGGTGGTACGACAGTGGCCCGTGGAACCGGTTTACCCACTCTACGAGGACAGGGCGGATCGCCTCTATGGTACGAGCGCCATAGGGGGGATCCGCCAAACCCTCTTTCCACCGGTCCCGCATGCGCTGCGCCGCGAGGCGGCGCTCCCGCTCCACCTCTTGGGGAGCGGGTCGCTGTGGCGTTCGGACCCGCACCGCGCTGCCCCGCCACGCGGTTCAGTGTGGCAGGGTTCATATAAACTATGCACCCGCGGCCGCCTCTGTGAGGCCAGAGCATAGCGTTGTATATAATACTAAAATACTAAAAAATTCTTAACTTTTTTTCAGAGGTGTAGCAAGGGAACATGAAAAATGGCACGGAGGAGCTAGATATCAATGCCCGCACTGTCCTAGCGAATTCGAGTAAGTGTTTTGCGTTACCTACATACCATCAACACCACAGAACAATATATACAGTAGAAGTGCTTAGTTTGCGTGGTACGTGTGCCAACAATACGCGAAGTTTCACATACTTGAGCTCAGTCCGTCATTTTCCGCTTTGTATGTTATAATCTTGATTATCTATTTTGCTACTTTGGAGTGCAAAAATGATAGTCGGATAAAATTATCTATGGTATGGCAAATAATATATTATCTACGGAATGGAGGCTAATTTTTGTGGCAAAGTCTTCCGCGAAATTCTCGCGCGTACTTTTTTGGCTCGTATCTAGTTTGTACGTTACACAATTGACCATAAAGTTCATTATGCTATGTACAGCATCGTTACAAAAATTCACTTCCATTCCGTTCCTCCGCAATATAAGTTGAGACTAAGTCTTATTTTATTTTAATACATTTCATTATCGTAATTATTATATCGTAGCTGTTATATTATTATCGTAGTATTTTTCTTGTAAGATATTTATAATATTTGTCTTTTTGGAGATCTACTTAAACATCGATTCGTCGTCGTTCAGCTGCTGACCGCTAGATTCATTGAAATTTCAATTGTAAATATGTAAAATCAAAACATCGTAACTTTCAACAATAGGTACTGAACTTTCAACGACATGCTTGTTAACCGCCTTCAAAAAAGGAGGTGTCTCAATTCGACTGTATGTTCTTTTTTTTTGTTTTTGTTTTTTTTTGTTTTTTTTTTGTATGTATGTTACGCGATAACTCCGGTATTTGTGAACCGATTTTCATGATTCTTTTTTTGTTGGAAAGGGGGTACTTCCATAGTGGTCCCATTTCATTTTGAAGAAAATCATCCACCTCGAAGGGTGGCTGTTCACGCATGAAGATTCATTTTTATAAATAGCGCCTAACTTTAATTTAGGAGCAATTACTTTTAGCAATTATTTAGTTGATTTTGCTATTTCTCCAATTCAAGGCGTTTTTCTCTCGATATACTTTGAGTAGTGTCGTAGTGAGAACCTATTTTTATTATCTCCAGTCAAGTCCTATATAGTGGCGAACTAGGGGATATTTCAATGAAACTTAGCAAATAGACGTAATTCCACGTACTTTTTTAAATTATCCACTTGTACGCTCAGGCGCGAGCTTACGTCATCACGGCGCCACCCTACGTTTTTTTTATTGTTTACATTAGGAGCCGCGATAAGGCGCTTGTAATATAAACACTTGAAACTCGAGAACTCTGCACTAAATAAATGAAGAAAATAATAACTGAATGAGTCTCAGACATAAGTTTTTACTTACCACGTTTCATCTTTCGGAAAACGAAAAAAACCCCTCTCTTTATCCCGTTTAAATGCTGGTAAACAGCCGTACACAGCGCAACTCACGACCATTATAAATAGTAAAGTACAAAGATGTTATACATTAACATACAAGCTTCGTAGTGAATAAATGAAAACTATATTCAAATATCAAAGTCGTCTTAGCGCGGAAACCGCTTGCCGACAGCCTTATTGCCGTTCAGACAATGTGCGGGGCGTAGTGCGCTATCTAAAGCCAGGGAGACGCGGAGAAGTCCATTCTTGTTACTTTTTTGTTCTCTGCCCTGGGTGTATAAGGCTCCAATTATTATCATGGTACAATATTGGTGTTATTTAGAAATGTTAAGCATCAAATTCTTAAAATATGTTGAAACTTGTGTTTTCAGTAAACTAACAACTTATATGGGACATATTAGAATCAAACACGTATCCGATTTCGTATGCGAGTTGTGCGGATACACGTTTGTAAGCAAAAAAGGCATTGATGTCCACAAGAAGAAAAAGCATCGGTTGATTGATAAGACCGTAAGTTCAAATTTAGATTATCTTTATTACACTCAAAATCATCGCATTGATTAAATTCTTCTACCCATTAGAACTTAGTTTCCCAGAGTGGCCCCTGCAGCTCCCCTGTGGGCGCTGAAGAATCCTAGGGGGTAGGGGCCTCGAGAGCAATTGGGGGGCGTTGATGTAGTTGAAAAAAAAAACCTGAATAACCTATACAGGGTGATTGGTAACTCGATACATTCCTTTTAAGGGGTGAAAGTAGACCTAATTTGAAGCAAATTAAGTCAAGTTATACCCTGTCCGAAAATTAGTAGTTTCGAAGATATTGAAGATTTAAATTTTTTTTTAAAAAATCCCGATTCTCAGCTTTGTTATTTTTTTGGAATTTTATTTCTGTCCGTTTCTGGTTTGTTTTCATTTTATCTAGTAGTTATTGAATTAAAGTTATTGTTTAATAGCAATAGAGTACGAAATAACTGTTACATTTGCCATAGTGGTTCAAAAATGATGAGAACTACCGAAAAAGAAACAACAATTTATTTATTAAAAGGAGTGCCTTGTAAAAAAATTATATGGAACGATGTGTACAAATTACTTAAATTACTTCTTTGTACTTCTTTGTTGTTTCACCCCTTAAAAGGAATGTATCGAGTTACCAATCACCCTGTATAACTCAACTGCCTCCGTGGTTGAATGGTTACCATACTGGACTGCCACGCAGAGGCCCTGGGTTCAGTTCCCAAGCCGGGAGAAATATGTGCATGGCCTATGTTGAGTGTGTATGTTATTATTATTATTCGTGTGCATTCGGAATTCCGATGATTGCCGAGGGACATTGAGAAAATAGAAGCACTGTACCTTGTTATTCGATCATATCTCGGCCTGTCGCGGTAGCAGTCTTTAGGTCAAGTTAGAGACCCTAGGGCGACCACAAATCTATAACAAAAAATAACAACCCGTTAATTTCGCTTAACGCGATTGTAATGGCATTGCTGTGTTTTAAACATCATGTTTAAAAACATGCTAACGATACGTGCCATATCTAGCAGTATTATAATAAAGTAATATATTTGATTGCAGACAACACTAGAAGGCCCGTACTGCGAAGTGTGTGACGTGAAATTCGTGTCTGAAGAGGCCCACGCGAGACATATGAAGCTGTCCTCACGACACAGTAGTGATAATGACCCGTGAGTATCTAGTGAAATTACAGGCACATGAGACTTGTCAACTTAGTCTCAGAGTGATAGGCGCAGTGGCAGTGTCCCTCAAATATTTACGATCTAAACGACAGGCGTGTCGCCCTGTCACTAGTTATCATAAAAAAATATATATTTAAAATACTAACAACCTAGCAGGACTGTATTATTAACGTCCCGGTAACGGTCCCGGGTTCGATTCCCGGGCCGGGAGAAATATTTGTATGGCCTACATTTATTACTATCGTGAGTTTGGGTGTAATTTGTGGTGTCCATGTGTGTATCCTTGTCACCCGCAACACAGGGTTTCCCTAGTGCGGGGCTATGTTAAGCGTGTGCGTTATTATTATTATTATAACGTCATAAACAACAACTTTTCTTCCATGACTTTTTACTAAACATAACAAATTTACCAAAAATAAACTTCAGTTGTTGTTGTACTATCTGCCATTTTTTAGATATGTATTTATTAGAACAAGTTCAAACGAGCAATCGTCCTCAGCGAATACTCCCACTCCCGTGCTGCACAGAGTATTAACCGTTTAGAGCAGAGATGAAAAAACGGATGTCCAGTAACTATCCGCCTTTTTTTACTATTCGGCCGGATACCGGATAGTATAACAATATCCGGCGCAATATATGAAAATGCAATCATTCACTAATCAATCAATCTCGGCGATGCGCGCTGTAAACCGGCCGCGACATGTTTACGGCAGTGGGTCAAATATCCGGCGACCGCATATCCGGCTATCCGGCCTAGGTGCTTGCCAGATATCCGGTATCCGGCCAAATCGCTATCTGTTTCATTTCTATTTAGAGCGATCTATCGAAATCTATTTATTTTTGTATGAAAGTAAAACCTAAAGAATTATTTGGAACTTGTTGTTGATGATGTTAGTAACATAGTCGTGCAAGGTAGTTACTTTTTAAAAATAACCCTCTATACTATTTCTGTTATCATTGTTATGACCAGTTCCGGACCCCATAATATGGCCTTTTGTTACATTTATTTCGTACCTGTATTTTGCACCTAAACCACTAAATCCTTTTACTCGTTACAGGAACCGTATAAGGAATGATTCCCAAAGCATGAACGCAGAGAAGAACGGTCGAGTGATGAGAAAAATCGAGAGGAGGCCGGTGATACACCCAAGAGACCCCGCTGACAAAGATAGGAGAGCTGAACCATCCGGACCAGTCACATGCGAGCAGGTACGCTGGCCATTTTGTCTTTGTCTCTAACCACAATTATGTATAGTCTGTCTTTTTTGACGACGGAGTAAAATGACAGTTCATTACACAAGTGTGACCACTTGCAAGCAGCTAGTGATTGCAATCGGTAAATATTCTATCGACTATCGATTGAATATTTGTCACGTTTATGGAATAAATAGCCGCCAAATAGTTTCCGAGTTCATTTGAAATGTCAATTTTTGTAAGTTCATACTTATAATTATACACTGTATTTAGAACGATGTCTTTGAAAAATACAAACAGGAGACGTATTTTAAATCTGCTTATTCTTGTTAAAATGTATATGAATAAAAAATTATTTCTGTACTAGTCGGCCGACTGTCTAAATAAGAATAAAAATGACAATAACGCAATTAGTAGTCATTGTAACGTCAAAACATTCATAATTCAGTCATTTTTGGCAAAACTTTATCTTCTTTCACAATTTATCGATAAAACTGTCGACATCAACTACATGACTATTTAAAATTTTATGAAAACTGGCAACCCCGCACATGTCATTTTACTCCGTCTTCAAAAAAAAACAGACTATGTATGTGTAGAGTGATGGCAGAGCAACAAAAATTATATGAGAGGACTAACCTAAATCATATTACGTATTTTTTACGTATTTTTACGTATTTATTATGTATGTATTATAAGCATGTTTATATTATGTTATTTATTTATACCATACAAATTATCGATTAGCTTTCTAGTATATTGTTCTTCTTGTTTAAGTGTAGCACCAACCTATTGTGTTTTTTTCTGTTTGGCCCAATGGTTGACTGGTAGAGAATGCCTTATGACATTAAGTCCGCCATTTGTACTTCAGTGTTTTGTACAATAAAGTTTGAATAAATAAATATTACCAGAGCAACTGAAATAAATTATATCACCAGAGCAAAATTGTATCAGTACATCAACTTAAATTGCATCAGCAGCATTACTATGTTCCGGTTTTGAAAGGTTAAGGTGCCGATGAAATTACAGGCACATGGGACTTGTCAACTTGTGTCATACAAGTCTTTACGATTTAAAGCTCTGAGTGGCACTGCATCTGTTATGGACAGGCGTGTAGCCTAACCTTGAAAAAAACATACCATTACCTGAACAATACGTTTTCATTCTAGTGTGGCATCCAACTGCGCGATTTGCGACTTTACGCACAGCATTTCAGAAGATCCCACCCTGACAAGAACAGAACCAAGTACCCTGCTATGAAAACGCCCTGTATGTGTGAACAGTGTGGTCGGATATTTCAGGTAAGCACAGATATTTTAAATGTGTGTTAAATAAATGATCAAAGTAAAGGTAAACGAATGAAAATCGTAAGCCTCTGTGACATTTAGGAGGACAGATAAAAATTGCTGTCTTCAGTGACATCTAGGAGGACAAATAAAAATTGCTGGCTTCAGCGACGTCTAGGAGGACGGAAGGTGAAAGTAAATTTAGGCAATACAAATATTTCTCCCGTCCCGGGAATCGAACCCGGGACCTCTGCGTGGCAGTCCAGCATGGTAACTGTTCGGCCCCGGAGGCAGTTACTTTTTAATTAAGAGTTTTGACTTGTATCAAGTCCTTAGAGCCATGTCTTCGGTTAATTATTGGGATCCTCATTAAATATTTTCCAATGTAGCTCTACAACATGTTTCCACTTTCTCGTAAATAATAGTTCTCTTGTTTGGGCTTTCTAAATAGTCTTTAAAGCGGCGGGAGTCAATATTTATGTTTTCACTTGATCACGTTATTGTCACTTTGAACAAAAACTTTGAATTTGTAATTATTGGAATTTTCACTCTTTTGTAATTTGGTTTAAAATAAGGAATATAGTTCTAACTTTCTTCGTAACTATTTCTTTTTTCGTATTTTCTTCATAGTGTACTTAAAATTAATCTTTGTAAAAAATTGTACTTGTAACTTCAAAAGCCTGCTATTTAGTCAGAGGCACTTATTTTGTATATACAAAAAAACCAGAGATGTGTGCAAGGTACCGTGCGAGCTCGCCGACGTCTCCGCCCACCCCACCGCACCCCGCCCGCGCACAGCTGAAAAGAGTCCGCTACGCATTCTCGCGCAGCTTTGGTGAAAATCATCACACTGTGTCACAGCGCAGCTTCACATCCTCGCGTCGCCTAGCTACCTCGCACATCTCTGGTGGAACCGCAGCCTAACGGCTCTAATTAGAGACCAAGTCACATGTACCTGCAGTTTCACCCGCACCCGTACCCTTGAAAACCGAAACGCAGAAATAATTATGTTAACTAATATCAACGTCTTTTCCACAGAGCATGGCCCTTTTAAAAGACCACATGTGGGTGCATACAGGAGAGAAACGCTTCAAATGCGACCGATGCGACAAGTCCTTCACACAGAAGACCAACCTGGTCTTCCACATGCGAGTCCACAGCTCGACGCGGCCTTCGTACGAGTGTCCACTATGTGGAAAGCATTTCGCGTTCTTCAACAACCGACGGAGACATATGTTTGTAAGTATAACTGCCTCAGTGGCCGAACGATTACCACCCTGGACCGCCACGCAGAGGTCCCGGGTTCGATTCCCGGACCAGAAGAAATATAAATATAATTATAAATATAACTTGTATGGGTTCTATTTATTCTCATTGTCATTATCCTATTCAAATTAATATTGGTGGAAAAAGTGATGAGATATCAAGTCGAAATGTTTGAAATATACGTGAAAGTGTTCACGTATTCGATTTATTGAGTGATTGCTTTAGAATTTTAACCAAACACTTGTTTACTTTTTGCTCAAAATGGATTGCAACAGACTATATTCAGTTTATATATGGTTACAGATTCACACGGGCCTGAAACCATTCAAATGCGAAACATGCGGCAAAACCTTCACCACATCTGGCGAGCAACGAGCTCACGTCGAACATGTGCACATGAAGAAACCCTGGCCCAAACGGGCTAGAGCTCAAAGGCAGGGCGCCCATATGCCGCCGCCGCAAGATCCTGATTTGTGGCAGCAAAAATGTGTTATGCCACCTTTGGAAGATTAAATTGGGCCAAAAGTGCAATTAAAGTGGCCCGAAGTAGTGATATCTTTGGCCCAAATGTGTGGTTTCTGTGGCCCAAAATTGTGTGATTGGAGTGGCTTAAATATTTATAATAATATGTAGTCGCTCAAGTCAATGAATGAGCGAATATAGTGGCCCAAACGAAATAATGGAGTTTCTCTAAACTATGGATGTAGTGGCCGTAATTAATGAATGTGGTAAAAGTATAATGCATGGTATAGGTAATGATTACATTAATTATAGTACACCATAGTAAATTATAACTAGAGTTTGTAGAAAGATGTAGATTTTTGAAATTTTTTAAATAAGTAAATTGTAGGAAATAAATTTAAGTACTAGTGGATAGTGGAATTAGCAATAAAATTTCCACTAATATTATATACCATACATGAAGTGTCACAAAATAATTTGTGAATTAAGCGGCCCATTGGAGTGATTAGGATTGCCCAAATGAATACAATAGTAGGCTCAATTGATAAGTGAATTGGCCCAAACCGAGTAAGTTAGATTTGTATAAATATAACAATTTTAATTAATAAGTATTATATACTCATATGATTTACAATAAAACAAAACTGGATCTCATAACAATAAATAAAGTATTCTAATGTAGGTTTATTAGGGTTTAATATTTATTGTATTAAATTATAGTATTTGTATAACGACGCGAAACTCAAGATTTTTTACGCTTTTTATAGTACTTGATATTTAGAGAGAATTAGTGCGAGGTATTTGACTACGCCGCTGATGAGTAGAATCGATAGCCATAAAGTATAATCTGCCTTTTTTGAAGACGGAGTAAAATGACAGTTCATTACGCAAAAGTGTTACCCGCTTGCGAGCAGCTAGTGATTGCGGTCGATAAATATTCTATCGATTATCGACTGAATGTTGGTCACGCTTATGGAACAAATAGCCGAACTTGTTTCATTTTAATCATCCTCGACCCATTATTCATCCAATTACTGAGCACAAATTCATTTGAATTTTCAATTTTTGTAAGATCATACATACGTACGTACAGCTTGGCAAAAAAGAGTATGGATTTAATGAGGGCGCCTAGATCAAATATGTGGCAACCCGATATACTACGACGAAAAATGTTTAGATACTTGTTATTTTTATTTATTGTTAAAGGCTTTTAGCGCCCAGACACACGACCCGAAAACTTTCTTGGTAGGCAAAAACATTTAAATTTCGCGGAATAATACAACCGCACGTTGTCCACGCGGTCGCCAAGTGGACGAAAGCTAAGCCAGCCTCATATGAAATTCTCCAAACTCTTCTCTTATTTCCAACATGGGATGAACCCAAAATCATCTCACCTCTTTTTTTTTTCTTTGCATTATTTGTATAATAATAATAAGTAATAATGCAATAACAACTTGTTTCTTTGTAGTTAAACTTCGCATAATTTTAGTGACTGGACGAACCCAAGTCGGCAAGCAGTAATGTGGTGAAGTTTTTGTTTCTTGAAAATTCTGAATTTAACATGTAAATTCTAAATAAATAAAGCGTATTTTGTTATAACAGTTCGGTCTCTAAACACGTGAACTCCGTCACCGCGTCACGGCCGCGAGGCGGCGACATATTCGCGTCAAATAAACGCGCCCTTAGAGTTAATTTTCAATTACCATCAGACTCGATCCATCCACAGTAACAACATAATATTATATAGCAACATAATATGATCCCTCACAGAATTATTTGTTTTTATAATTTAAATGACCTTTTTCCTTACTAAGGGAGATTCGAGCAGGTTTAATAATTATAATAAAATAAATAGGATAAAAGGGAAAATGAACCATTTATTGTTTGTACAATTTATTCTAATTAAACAAAATAACAATTTAAAATTTTTTAATAAATACAAAAATTTCGGATAATATCACGGTTTTTTTTTTTAAATTTTAAATCAATCAGATTCCAAAATACTTTCATCGAGATATTCCACCCCAGAAAACTCTATTGTATCTTGGCTAGACGTTCCGGCAACAACAAACTCATCTGAATCACATGAATCTGAAGTGGTCTCGCTACTGCTCTCATCTCTGACGTTAATAACCAATTTTTCAATGTCGTCATACATAGTCATACCCCTTTCATAATACTCTTTTTCAATTTTAATAACATGTTGGCATGAATTTTTCCAATCTTCGGCAGTAATCTCTTGGAATGCTTATTCAGCTGCCATCTGTCGGAATAAAAATATTATTGATTATGAGTTCAACTTAATAACATTAAGAAAAACGAATTATGAACTAGATCCCTACCTTTATATCAATGGACCCTACATTGACAGAGGCAATTTTATGTTTTGCAATTCCCCATATCAATTCAATAGGATTGAGGTCACAATGATATGGAGGCAGCCGTACCACAGTGTGACCATGATCCCCCAATATTTGGTCAATTTCATAAAAGGCCTCTGGTTTGTGGCGTTTAACAAGCATTAACAATTTAGGTTTACGCATCATTTCATCAAATTGTATATTGTTTTGTAGCAACCACAGCTTTACATCAGCAACTTTTGTTGCACTGGTTGGGGCCTTATTGATGACTGCCGAATGGTAAGGAGCATTGTCCATAACAATAATGGAAGGCTCTGTCAAATTGGGAATTAATTTCTCGGTAACCCACTTAGTGAAATTTGCTCTATTCATTTCAGAATGGTAATCTTCATTCTTGTTTGTGCCACTGAAAATTAATAGTGCATTTGGAACAAACCCCTTTTCACTCCCAGCATGCACAATAATATATCTTTTGCCTTTAGATATATTGTGTCGCACTCCACTAACTTCAATTGATTGCCAACATTTTTTAAGCTTGTAAGATGAGTGTACGTAGCTTTCATCCAAAAAAGTAATTTGTTTTTGGAGTTCTTGAGGCAAATTTCTATTACGCATTATAATTTTTAAATATTGTTCCCTCTTTGCTGCTATATTAGGCTTCTCCATTAGTGCCGATCTGTCTGTTTTACATTTTTTGTAAGAGAAACCCAGAGAATGTTATAACTTTCTTAGATGTTCACGGCTTCCATTAAATCCCAAAACTACAGGTAACAAAATCGTAGTGTAGTCACCAGAGAAAAAAAATAAAATGTTTTTATTTATTACATTAATACTGTTTTTTTATTGAAGAAAGTGGCATTAATATAATATATAATACATGCCTGTTTTTTTACCGTGTAGAAGAAATGAACCTTTTGTCTAATTGCGCAGAGGTCAAAATCATCGAGATCTTTCTTTGGTCGACCTTTCCTATGTTTACCAGGTGTAGAAAACACGCCATTATTTTTTTCACCTTCTTCAACAATTTTTCTTATGGTATTGACAGATTTACCTAAAATAAATACCAAACATACACAAATATACAAAAACACCAATTTATTTGAATTTTAAGTCTTGAAAGAATCAAAAATATTAAGTCGACTTATAAATGATACGTAAACATAACCTTAGTTACTATTTTGTCAACTAAACACAAAAACTCGTTAATTGTATATTATAAGTAGTGCAAAGTGCGTAATTCGACATGTAGAACGTAATAATAATTGAATAATTTGCATAAATACCTGTCATATCGGCTGTTCTCTGATAAACATTGTTAATTTCAGACAAAACTTGTCCCGCTTGAGATTCAGCCAAACATCGTAAAAAAACTTGGTATATCACTGTTCTACCACTACTACGAAACTGTCAAAATAAGAATAAAGAAGGCAATAACGCAATTAGTAATCATTAGAATGTCGTGACATGCGCAACTCAGTCATTTTTGGCAAAATTTAATCTTTCACAATCTATCGACAACAACTACGTAACTATTTAAAATTTTATGAAAACTGGCAACCCTACAAGAGTCATTACACTCAAAGAAAAAAAATGATTTTTTTTTTTGTTGAAAAGGGGTTACCTCAGTAGTGGTCCCATTGAAATTTGAAGCTAATATCTATATCCACCTCTAAGGGTAACAAATTAGGGAATGAATACGGTTTATCGAATTTCATTCACTTTCTGTTAACCGATTTCAATAAAACTTGGCCTTTAAATGTAATTTCGTTGAAAATAAAATGTTATAATGACGTTAAGCTGATCTGGGGGTCGATTCAGAACGTTACGATAACTCAGTTGTCGACCTCTTTCTTTTTATTTTTATTCACAACACCCGAATCGAACATCAAACTGTCGTATTCGAAACCGAACCGAAATGACGTCACACCCGTACAATTACCCGAACTTCTTGACCGGCAAAGGCTACAAACGTTCAAAACACAGTTATCGAATGAATGTCACCGAATGTCCTATTGTTTACAAAGCAAGAATGTAATATGGAAATCTCTTATTATTTTAAATAAAGTCTGGATTTTGTTCAATTTTATTATTTTAATGCAAGACTATATTTTACGCCTTTAAAGTCTTAAAAATGTATATAAAAGAATTTTCATTTTTCTTATAATCTATTTCACCGACTAACTCCGTAAACGCTCTTTTAACTCGGAATGTTCTGAATAGCTCGGAAAGCGCCCTTTGATTCCAGAACAATATCCAATCGAACGATTCGATTAAAGTATCGAAGAATTCTAAATCGTGGTCCTGATGGTGAAAATAGCAGATAGATGATTCGTTTTGACGAGAACTTACATATTATGCGTT